TGGGCACCCTGTCTCTTCTCTCCCACTCCAACCAATGCCGCTTCTCTTGCTCGTCGTTCCTTCTGCGTCCCCAGGGAGTACCAAGACGTTCCCTTCCTGTATGTTTTGAGTGTCTTGTTTATCTCATTTGTTTAACACTTCTGAGTTCATACCTCATATCCGATGAATATTTGTCCTATCACTTTTTTTTCTGCAATGCTTTTATTATGGAACGGGACCAAATTTCATTACCTATGTTCATGGTTACAAATAAGTGCAGTGTTGTCTATTGCCTTGTAACGATTGATTGCACCAAGTCATGTCGAAAATAGTTCACTTGGATTTGAATGAAAATGGATAGATGATATTCCTAATCTTAATCTTTTTTCTTGTTTTTTGAGCAGGAATTAAATTTGTTAGTTCTGTGGTACAAGTGATGCTGTTGGTGAGTAGGGGTGGCCTTTTTTACTCTAAGACTGGTAAGGAACTTCTAAGGCTTGTATATAGCAAGGAAAAACTATGGTACCCACAGTGATAATCTTTCTTAGGAAGGTATAGAAGTGCAAACCGTGAGCATGTTTGTCTGCCAAGGCATTTAATAAGGACGTTGATAGCAGGTCTATACTTACTCCTCGATCGTGGGCCCTTCCTAAGGATGTCTCAGCGCCACCTGCGTTAGGTCCACTGGCGGTTTACTTCTCACTGTGATGAGTGTCTTTATTACTGAGCCTCGTTTTTGTATTTTGCTTTACCCTTTCCTAGAGACTGGAATTTATTAGTTTGCTGTGCAAGAACTCCATCTATCAATACAATATAGAGTATGGAGCTTGAACTTGAGAAACTTCTGCTTTAGTTTGAATTTTGTTAATCTACTTTAAAGGATCATCTAATATTGGAGTGAAAAATGCATTACACATGACGATTATATTGTGCATTAAAGATGCCGCAGACTATTTCCCTCACATATCACCCTGTTCTACCCCATCGTTTGTAACTTCTTTCGATGGAAGTATCATTATCGGATTGCTTTATCGTTTTACTTTCTTTATACTAAGCGGCTCTTGAAGACGTTTGGGAATTTGACAGCAGTACTTTATTCCTCTTCGTAAAACTTACTGAAAAATTAAAATGCATTGGTCAAGGGCCTGTTCAAGATCAGAGCAGGTTTTAAGGCGTTTTCACTTGTAGTTTACTTGTTTCATTCCGGTTTCTTTACGGTCTACCTTGCTTTCTTTTAAATTATATAACGTTTGTGGAGTACTAGTAACGCAGGACTGCTGCCGCTAATGTATGTGGTGCTTCTGTAGTAAGTTCGAATCTCCTCTTCCATCATCTCGGGTCTCTCATCCTGGACCCATTTTAAGGCTGAAGATATCCAAAATGATGTACTTTTGCAACCCGTTAACAGTTTTTCGTGCTCACACGTCAAACCCTTCATTGGAACTTAAACCCGACGGTAAATCGTAGGTTCATTAACGGAACTAGCTTCACTCATGTAACGTGCGATTAACTCAAATTTCAGTTTCTGTTTGAAGAAGTGACGTAGGAATGGTGTGCCTTTTTCATCGGCAGACCAGGAAGAGAATATCGACTGTATTGTCCATCGACCGCGAATACTTGATGTGGCATCACCTCACCTGTTGTCTTCATAGGTAACACGCGGGGGCCATAATCGTGACAACCTTGTCAGCTGTGGAGACAACGCAAATTGGTGACGTGCGCAAGAAGTGGCAGAATGCAACATGATTCTCGATAGATCTCCAGCTAAGGCTTCTTCTGCCAAAGACGTTCAACAACTAATCGCCGAAGCTGTACTCGCTACCGTCTGGAACTCGACTGGGTCAGTGTCGGCTTCTATGGGAAATATGTTTCCCCGTTAACACACTGGTGTTCCTTCTCTACCCTTAGACAGGTATTCATAAGCATCCTTACGCACAGTTCGTAATGATTTCAAAAATGACGGTTTTACTGTCTGGTGTTTTTTTGGGCCCGATATATGTCATTTTGAATCCGTATGTTCCACTCGTCACTCTGTTGGTTCAACTTGGGACGCTCCGAGTGCTAGTTAGTCTCCAGGATAAAATTAGTCCTTGAAAAATGCTCTAGGTAACATGTGTTGATGGTTAAAATTCCAACTACAGTCTTATGAGTTCCTCACAGGCCAGTTTAGCACTATCGGCAAAGAGCGGAATTTATAAGGATCTGAGGTATTGAACTCCTTACTGCTCCCCACAATATGGGTATGATAAGGAGATTTGCTCGTTTCCCTTCACCGTTAACTTTTTTTAGGTACGGACCGGATTATTAACTCGGCAGAATTGGGTTTTCATGATTTTCCCCATCTACCCCCCTCAGTTTTTGGGAGGTGTTATCGCTACTCTTGACAGCCTCCTTTAGGTGGGCGAAAGCGGAGAGCTGAGGCTGTGACGGCGGTGGAAGGTGGCAGCGATGCATTGCGGCCGATGCGCGTGAGAGCTGGTGCCGTAGTGGATTCCACTCGGGGCCTAGAGTACTACGTCAGCGTCGTTCGCGATGCTCACTATCGTTCCCTCTCCGCCGTTCTAGACATGGTCGACCTTGTCCGCAGCTCCAACTTTTATTAAAAGTCAGTTTCCTTTCCCTTCCTCATTTCCTCTTCTCCAAAAATTCAATGGCAACTTTGTTACTTAGATCAGTAGTCTTTGTGCATTTAGGCAACTAGTTTATTCAGCTTAATATTAAGCATAAATAAATGCAATTAACCATCGCCAAACCTTCGGTCTTAATAGTTATTCACAAAGTAGAAATATGAAAGGCTCCAATATTGAAACGGGTGCTGTTGCAGAATCTATATGTGTGATGATATTTTTTGCTAATAGTTGAGTGATATGTAACGGTTAACTTTATAACTGTTAGATCGCGGGTTCTGCTCTCGGACAAGAAACCACGTCAGCATTGAATTTTCCATGCATGGGGTGCCATCGGCGCGGATATTGGCGGCTCGAAGGTGGAGCATTTTGTCAGTCTCGACGCCGCTGTGCAGCACTTCCCCGATTACTTCCCTTAGAATTTTGTCAAAATGCTCTGCCACATTTTTTCTCATGAACTGGAAGAATTTGATACCAAGATGGACAGCATCATGCCACCCCCTTATTGCCGTTTTAATGTCCCAGGTACTTCTTCAATCATCGAAAAAACATCAGTCTATAGCTTGTTTCCTTTTATATTGATGTTGGGAAAGTGATACTAGGGAAGACATCACGAATGTAGATTCAGGAGGCCTATGGTGTTTTAAGCGATCTCTATCCTTCTAGCTTCGAAAAAGCTGATTGAGAAGCTAGCCAGGCATTTGATTGGTGACGCAGCGCGCTTTTACGCGCTCATTTCGCACGGCTTTGGCCTGAAAGTGCCACCCCTGTCGGACAGTGCGAAGGCGATCTGAATCAACTCTCCAGTGTTAGGTGATCCATTGAAGCTAGAAGTGCCCTATTTCCTTACGAAGACTGGTGGCTCCAACGTCAACCCTCTTGATGAGCACTCTAAGAAATTGAAGAATCGAATCGAAGTTTGTATGTTTACCCTTGCCAATCAGTTTAATGTCCGGTACTTAATATCGACTGTTTTTTGAGTATTCTGTCAGCCCCTTCATGGGGACCTGGAGGAGTTTGAACTGATCACGGAGTTTTTTTTGCCACTCACACGCCCCAACGCGTTTCAGCTACACCCTGGAGATGGTAGACATTTTCTCAGTATCTCAGGAGGTGGAGACGGAGCGTTCTAAGGCGCTGGACAACCGCATGATACTCTAACGCGATTTTCACCGCAAAAACTGGGTAGGCACTTTGTGGGTGCTCCCTTCCCCCTCTTTGCTTACACCCATTCAAGTAGCCGTAATTTCTTATTTGTGCGCTCTACATCCCATTTTACTTGGCAGCGCACAAGGGGTACGAATAGCGCCTACCAAGGCGCTTTCGACGGGCTATATGTTTGGCAAGGGCGTGTACCTCTCTGATATGACGAGCAAATTTGCTAATTACTGCTATACCTCACCCAGTGCCTCCCAGAGTTGCCTTCTCTTCTGTGAAGTGGCTCTCGGTAGACTGCACGACTGTTTCACTGCCGATGTCTCTCGTCTCTCTAAGCAAATTGGCATTCGCATAGGTCACTGTCCATTTTCTAAGCTGCTATTTTGCTCGAAAGGTATGCTGATTTTCCCTCCTTTACACCTACATGACCTTCTCTATTGTGCGTACCTGAAAATCATACGTGGCATGTTTTGATTTCAACATATGCAGTTGTTTTGTGTTTTAGTTTGTCAAAATGCCTACAAATATGAGGTAAAACTTCAAGATTGTGACCTTGTATTTTTACTGAGAGGTATTAATCTCTCAGGTAGTAAGATATAAATTTATTACATTTTTGTTTCTCTTATTTTCTCAAATTTTATCAAAAAATAGTGATGTCAGAGAAAAGTCGTTTCCTGCCAAAAAAGCGGATTTAAACACTTGAAGTTTTACCCATACTTTTGTTATTTCCTATCGCCGGCCCTAACCACTTTGTTCAAATTGACAGGTAAAAATTTATTTTGAGGAAGTTTTTGTTGGATTTGTTCGGCATAATGCACTTCGTTCCTGTCAAATCGGTCATGAGCCAGGATTATTTTTAGGCACTACTACTTTTTTCCAAGCAACTGCTCTCAGAAGCTAAAGAACTACCATAATGTGCCGTGGCTGTATGTAAATAGAGCTAGCAAATTTATTGAAGTAATTAATTTTTATCACTTTAAAAGGTGTGGACACAACCGCACCGAATGTGGAGACGCACTTCAAGGAGTCAAAGATCGGCGTTGCCTATTTATCCCATTGGTCAGCCAGTGACCTCTGCGGAGATAGAAAGCGACCCTCTGCACAATGAGTGCATTATAGGCACTGGTCAAAATAAACAGCGCTACCTTGTCTGAGTCAACTTTGCATTCATACTGGCATGATGAATACCATTAATAGTAAAAGCCACATTCATTCAATTTCGTCTTCACAGTTCGTAGTGGTGCATTCAACTTTGTCTAAAGGGCTTGAGCAGGCGAATTCTTATGTGTCAATGGTCTAGAGTGGATTATTCTTCCAAATCCCTACCATGGGCAGGAACTGTGATTTCTCGAAATTTCATGGATGTAATGATGAGCGCAGTTTCCTAATTTATTAGGTAAACGAAGAGATCTCTGTGTTGTTCATATGTTGTAACTTGTGAGGGCATGCAGAGTAGATCCACTTGTCCTTGAGTGTGCATCACACACCCTTTGCTGTGCTCTGCGTAACTCACATCTCTCGAAGCCTTGTATTACGAAATGTCTGTTAAGTCTTTTGGCTGTGGCTCGAGCTTATACGCTTTGTAAACAATTTAATAATACTGATGAAGACCATTTGGGTTTTAGGGACATTGGCGTTGAGCTCCTTCTTGCCCACCTAACTCCACGCTTTCTGTTTGTACAATTTCTGCATCGTCGGAGTCATGGCAAGTAGAGCGAACCCGGTTGTCCACTTAGATTGTTTCACTGCTTAGTTCAGTGAGGCTGTTTATTTCTTGACTCATAAGATCTCATTGTTAGCAGCAGAAGCTCCTTAACGTATTAACTATGCGATAGACTTTGATGTCTCTTAGTTTTTCATTATTTGAAGGTACTATGAAAAATGGTGTAAGAGGGGGTAATCCGATTCTGCTTACCTGGTAGAATTAAAGTTGTCATTCTATAAAATTCTGTCGCAACCCATTTACCTCTTGGTGTCCCTGGTTTTGGAAGTGGTACAACCAATTTTTATTGACCAACCAGTTCATTTGAACTGAAGAACGGAGATAGGATTTTCGTCAAATGCCTCCAATTTCCGCACGTTGATCGCATACGCCCATTTCTCAGAGTTGCGCTATTTCCACTTCCATTGGGCGCTAAATTTGGTGACGATGGCACGTGACATGCGTTTGGGCAAGGATGGTGCTTGCACGCTAGTATTGATGGGTTGGTCAAAGTATACCCCCAATGAGTAGGTGTGAGCCCCTCTCCACTGGCTTTAAGTTGAACAAGTCCATGCATTTGAACGAGAGGGTGATGTGTAATGCGGCAGTGCAGGCGACCATTCCAATTGAGAGAGTCAGAAGTGGTGCGAAATATGCTCCTGCTGGATACGGCATTAGACATTTGATCGAGTGATGCTATCCTCCCTATGGATGAAATGCCAGCAACTGCACTAAGAATGGCTTTACTGAGACTTTTTCACGTCGTGGCTATGACTGATGGTTCTCTATTATCAGCGAGAAGACTTAAATTTGTACTTTAGGAGAGAAGAAAGGGATATTCCAGTTTTTTGAGTTTACCCGCAAGTCTTATAAAGATTTTTGCCTAGAAATATTGACTAGACTGTTGATAACCACATAACTACATAGAGGAACAAAGGCTTGAGAAATCAAAAGGTGGGAATAGAAGCAGGTGGGTGTGAGTTTGTTCTCTGCTCCTGAAGGTAACACTCTTGGGAATACCTATACCGTTACCATTTACATCCTTTTTTAAATGTCTGAGAAAATCCAACACAGAGGTTGGACTTTCGGCCACTCTAAAACTACTTAATTTGCAATTTCCTTGAGTTCTCGTTGTCGATCCATATCACACGGGCCATAAATTTATGCATACAAATGCTATATAAAAGGACAAGATCATTCCGGGTGCTACAAATGCGTGAGAGTAGTGGTTATGCCATACGAATACATGTTACCCACATCCCAAGTCCTGCTTTCTGAAATTCCATTTCTTCATTGCCCTAAGTGGTAACTCAGCAGAAGCCGCCCTTGCCTATCTGCACAGTCGCACACTTAAAAGCGTCACATGAAAGTGTGGTTTGTGGCAACCTTGTGCCTTATCAAGGGAAAGTCATGTATTTGCGATCGTTATTTGACCGATGTAGAAATGTACAAAGCTATCTGTAGTTCCTTGTTTCTGTCTGACGTACCCGAATTCGTGTGGTTATCCAATAAAGCCTTCTAATTTTAACTTGTCCAACATAAATTAACCAATAAGGCACTTGGCGTTACGATTATCACTAAGATGCGTTAAGATTTTTACGCCAAGAATTTGGTCTTAATCATTGTGAATTTATAACTCGACAAAGTAATTGCAATGAGGTGCTCTCTGCAACATTGAATGTGTGACAAAGGCATTTAACACACACAAAGAAGCAAATATTTAATGCCAAAATTGACGACAGCAGTAACTTGTGAACAATTCTTTAGTAACACTATTCTATCAATTTCGCAAATGCGTTTTGATTCACTACTTCGACCTACACATTCCACCTTAAATACCGCGCACTTAAAATAGGTTAGTCCTTTAATATTATGCATTTCCACTTTGTTCGATGAGTTGCCTATACACAGTCAAGAGTACTGCTTGCAGCCCAGTAGTACGGCTGTTTTTTACTTATAAAGGCGCAATACTGACACCTTGATCAGTGTGATTTTTATAAACAAAGGTCAAACTATTTACTACTTTCTAAGTAATTTAAAATTTCCACACCTAGATACCCCTAGGTAAACTGATTGCAGACTTTGATTTTAAATAACTCACTATTTGCAATCAAGTGGTAGTCTCTATGAATAGGCTTTTATCGACTAATTTTTCCAGTGGTGTCAGGGTTAATAATTATTTTACATTTTACTGGAGGGTTCCATCAGTCCTTAATAATATGGCTGCCCCTTAATTTTTCCTGCAATAATTGGTTTAATTAGGCCGATTAATGAGTTTATATCGTATGTCTCATTTGACTTCATTTGATCTTTTACCATTCACAGTGTTAGAAATTCATTGTTGATGTTGAAGCCAATCTTCTAAGCCTACACCTTGTATTGCAGCTTCAACAAATGAATTACATCTACATAATCGTTCCTGTATGTTTTTCTCTTCTCATCTTTGCTCTAACTGTGGGATATTTACTATTGGTCAAGTACAAAGCCAACCGTTTGCTCAAGTGTATTCGTCGAGGCATGATTATGAAATACTGCAGTCCCGAATTTGTGGCTAAACCGCCTAATGTAACCCATGGTCATATACCCTTTAGTGGTGTTTATCGAGAACCGAGCATACCAATGGTGAATAAAGGTCACATTCAGAGTCAATTTTCTCATGTACTCGCCAGGAATGATGGATTTGACAGCATGCACTCAATTGATGCAAACTCAGAGTAGGTTGTCTATCGGACTGTCTCTGTGTTTTGTAACTGTCTAATTACTTTCCATTAACAGTGTCATAGAGATTCCCCTTCGTCCACATGTTCACCACTCTTCATCATCATCGGAAAGCATGGAAGGTAACTACTACGGTGGGAGTGCCTACCATAACAAGTATAAAAGCATCGAAGAGGGAGATTCGGGAACAGACAGTGAAGGTGGAAGAAAAACTCCTCTTGAACATCGCAAATATCACTTTGTGGGTGATTTTGGACCGGCAAATACCTTCAACTCCCAAAAGTATTAGAAAAGACAACCAAAATTACGCTAATTCCATTAAAGTCATTGTTGTCTATGGTTACCGCCTACAATGGAAGTCACTCAGCACTCTGCATTCGGAGTGTCTTTCAAATCCTACTCAAACTGTCACAATTATTCTCCACTTTGGTTGAGGTTCATGGAGTCAGGCATTCTTCTCTATAGCTCCATTCACCTCACCATACTGCAAACCCACTTGAAATTACGAATTCGTATGCAAATGTGTCGTTGGCATACCCTGGAACGTTGAGCTCAACAAGGCCTCGATTTGGCTGTATGTACACAATTTTTCGGCCGACCTACCTAACGATAGTCAAACAACCACACCAGCTCCTATTAGTATAGCACAATAAGTCAGTTAATGGGATGCACAAGACTCCATTTGTCATGCCTTCTTTTTCTCCGTTTTGGCTTCTTGAATTTCTTCAGTCAAAGCGATCGACAATCCTGGTTTAATTCTTGCTTTTGCGAATGACTGTGCTTTGAAGTACCTATAAGTTGAAACAGCATTTTTGATACATTCTCTATACTTTTGTTCATTAACAATGAGAATACAAGCAAATGACTTGAAATGTGAATGTGATGCAGTATTTTTTCACTGTTCTAAGGCAGAGAGATGGGCTAGTAGTTCAGAATGTCGGCAAAATTTGTCGAATAGTTGTCACTTTATTTAATCGCAGACAAGTTTCATTACTATAGAGTAGGTGAAAAGCGCCACTGCCAAATAAAAGGCCGTATTTTAAAGTGTAATTTTAGTGACATGGTCACTCTCAATTTTGAGATGACTGTAAGTTGGCCAAGGCATTTTAAAGAAGTATTTGCGCCCATTTGGTCACTATGGTGATGAAATTATTAGAGCAGTTTATGGGTGGAATAAAGAGCGCCAAGTGCGTTTAAACTAGCGTGACTGACTTTAAAACAATCCTAAAGTTGGCTTGTTTAGCACTAATTCCCCGAAGAAAATAATGCTTCTTCGGCGGGTTGCATAACCACGGTAAATATGCAGTCTGCATGGTTATTTGATGAAACACCTCTCCATCAGTATTCATGGTCGATATTGGTAGAAGTGACTACGTTGGTGGCAGGGCTAAGTAAACCACGATCCAAATGACCAAAACCAATTAGCATTATTAGCCAGGTGTCGGCGTTAAACATTAGAAAGACAGGTATTTGTTGCTGTTAGCATAACCTCTAGAGAGCGTCATAATGGTCACTACTTTCGGAGTCATGCATATCAAAGAACAAACTTTCAAAAAAGTATTAACAAGACAATTGATGTCAGCAGTAAACAACGACAACACAGTCGCAACCCCTCGGTTGTGATCAGATTGAGATAAATGCAGTATTATGTAACCAAATCAATGACACCAGTGTCCCTGGTTAAAGTA